ATATAAAGGCTTTTCTTTTAACTGTCCAAATAAATCATACTTAGATCAATAACGATATAAAGATGGAATCAATATAAAGGCCTTTCTTTTAACTGTCCAAATAAATCATACTTAGATCAATAACGATATAAAGATGGAATCAATATAAAGGCCTTTCTTTTAACTGTCCAAATAAATCATAGTTAGATCAATAAAGATGGAATCAATATAAAGGCGCCCCCAGGTGGAAAAGAGTAAGTTTACAGACTTACAATGCTAAAATCTGGTGCTCGATTCCCCGTGCCGGATACAGCCGAATGTGGCTTTGCTCTAAACCAAAGAAACAGTATAAAGGCCTTCCTTTTAACTGTGCACCTAAATCGTAGTTAATTTAATAAAGAAATAATTTGAAGCCACAGAACATTGAATTACGAATCTTATATTTATAAAATATGAATCGACATGAAGAAAATTGTTTTTTTTATTTAAATTACGCTTATAGATCAACTTTAATATATATTATTTATATTCCTAAATACTTTTAATTTATCGTATGTTAAAATGGCTATGATTAGGAACTTCAGAATATACAAAATTACGGCGATAACTGTACAAAAACATCGTATTTCTGAATCCCTTTCTAGAATATGTATTTTCTGTAAATAAAATCTTCAAAATAGGGAACGGCAGATTGAAAGTTGTAAAAAATTTACGTAATTTGAAAATATCGTGTACCATCAGACAAGCTTTTTTTTTTTTGTCTTATTGAAAATGAAATATAATTGTTGGTTGTGGATGTTGAAATCAATAACCAAATTTCTGTATCGTATTTTGTTGTCTAGTTCGGAAGAACTAAATAATACCACTACAACTTTCGTCTTAAAAAGGATGGACACCGAAACAGCTTCACAACAGATAAGATAAATAAACAAAATGATATTTGGTCAATTGATCTTTGACACGCGGAATCTGAATATCTGGAGCTTGTACTTATCTAAAAGCATCGTATGTCATTTCTTGAGGTTAGAAAACCACCAATTTTTTAATGACATACAACACGTACGATATGCTTTACAGATGGTTATATAATTGGTATTCCTTATACACGTTCTTACTTGACTAATTCCTTACATTAAGAAACGCAGCCATCTGATATCTAAAGCTTTTTATTATAAAACATTTTATTGTAAAAACTAATTTCGCTGAAATAACTTAAATGTTAATATCGCTATCTATATCTTCTAAACATCCTCATTCCCTTGGAGCTGACGTATGAGATTATCTTCACAGTCTTTGTATCATTTCTGTACAAAAATAATGGTGCTAGGGATATTATTAAATCCAACCGAAGGACATTTGTTTGTCTGCTGGTTCGATTCCGTACACAGCAGACATAATCCTCATTGAACCGTTTGGAGTTTTCTTGGACGTCATCAAAGGCTGTTCCCATGATGAACTATTACTGACGCCTTCGGGAAGAGAGGTATCTGGACTGCTGAAGGAACACATAGCGATCTGATTTGTTTCTCCCGAGAAGGTCATTAGAGGTCTTTTCGATTTATCAGACTGGTTTCCAAATTGCGTTTCTTGAACTTGGGAGTAATTCCAGTCCCCCGTTAATGAAGGCCTTGGTGTAGTGGTATTGGACCCAGCGCAACTTTGAATTGGAGACAGGTTACGTTCAGAAGAGACAAGGTTTAGTGGAAACGAATACCCTGAAGAACAAGGACAATCTGGTGAAAAGTCCAGAGGATGTGTTGTTATCGGCGGGTTAGAAACACTGGATCCAGGGGCACTAACAGTCCTTTTAGTTTTCCTTTTCTCTGGAATTCCAGTTAACTTAGGGACTGACAGAACCCTTGATGCTGAAAATTTATTTTGATCTTGAAATACAAGTTTTATTTTCGAAGGGTTAAACGTAAAACTTCTAAAAGTTTGGCCTATTCGAGCTAACTTTGTCACAGGGCTTGTGTGAAATTGGCTTGGCTGTGTGTCTTCTGTACTGCAGCAGTCTGGCGAGAAAGCAACACTTATGCTTGAATCACTTGAAACGTCACATTGACTTTGGTTTTCTGAAGACTCCTGATCACTCCTGGATTCCTCACTTCGACTTCTGGAAAAAGCAGCTCGTGCATTCTTTGTAACTTCCGCTAAATTGCCCCATTTTCTTCTTTTTGCAACTTTCCTTTCACTGGTTAGGCGAGCAACTTTGGTCAGCTTCTGAGTTTTTGTCTTTCTTGAGAAGTCCATGTTAAATTCTGATGTGGATGATCCTTCTACAAGACCGATGTTGAAGCCCTTCATCAAACGACGTTCCTTCAATCGTCCTTTTTTCCCGCCAACCCCTATAAAAATTAAAACAGTTCAAATGGAGATTTTTTAAATCGGCTTACAAAAAACTTATACATAAACGACGCTATTTTTTACACGAATTTACTTCCATCAGCCCCATCGTCTCATTTGCATTAGAATAAATGAAAACGGTGTACCTTTTTATAATCTTTATTTCCACTAGTATATAAAAATTTTCGTATGGAGTTTGTTGGGGTTTTTTTTGGGGGGGGGGAAGCTTACCAGTACTTAAACATCAGACGATACTCCTTTATTTACATATATATGTAAAAGCTAAAAAATATCATTTCATTAGTTAGTTTTCCACCAGTACCTAATGAAAACATCAAACAAGTTTCTTTAGGTTGATTGTTCTTTACATTGGTATCCAAAAATCACTTCAGTTCAGCGTTCAGCAGTGAGTCCGAGAGCTTATAATGCTAAACAGAGCACAGATATCCCTTTGTTTAGCTTGGCTCTTAACGACAAACACAATTTTAATCCACAAATATATAAACTATTAAGTGAATCAAAAATAATCTAACCAAGTCCGTTGATAACCAGCCGATTCTCTTCCGCTGGAGCCTCTGTAGTTGAATGACTTTGGATTATAATTCCCTTTTGAAGACTGAAGATAACATTAGGATTAGGATCATTTACATCGCTGTCTTTAGTTTAAGTGTACAAGTTCTCTTGAATTTAAATGAACCGTTATTTTATCGTAGAAATGAAACAAAACCGTGTTTACATAAGTGTACATTATGTTGTACTAAAATCTCAAACTTAGCAATAGTTCTAAAAATTCACGAAGAAAAACACGGTTCGATTAAAAATTTAATTAGAATTGTCTTCATCAAGTAAACAAGAGCAGTTTTGTTAATCATGAATTTCAGAACAAACTGCCATCCAATGGCACAGCGGACTTACACCGCTAGAAACCGGGTTTCGAAACCCGTGGTTGGAAGACCACAGATAACCCTTTGTGTAGTTTTGTGCTTAATAACAAACAAACAGAATAAATTACAACAAATTATTTAGATGTCACTGGACTTTTTGGGAATGTAATTATACTAAATTTCTTTGAGATAACCCGTTATTAAAATTTTGAATAAATTCTTATAAAATATAAGCTTTGCAATGTCACAGTAAATTCTATATATTCTTATATCAGGTGTGGTTGTCACGTGACTTGCTAGTCTAATACATGGCATTGCACCATGGTTTTATATCGGGTGTGGTTCACGTGACTTGCTATATCCAATGCATGGCATTCCACCTTGGTTTTATATCGGGTGTGGTCATCACGTGACTTGCTAGGTCCAATGCATGGCATTCCACCTTGGTTTTATATCGGGTGTGGTCATCACGTGACTTGCTAGATCCAATGCATGACATTGCACCATGGTTTTATATCGGGTGTGGTCGTCACGTGACTTGCTATGTCTAATACATGGCATTCCACCTTGGTTTTTATATCGGGTGTGGTCATCACGTGACTTGCTAGGTCTAATACATGGCATTGCACCATGGTTTTATATCGGGTGTGGTCATCACGTGACTTGCTATGTCTAATACATGGCATTGCACCATGGTTTTATATCGGGTGTGGTCATCACGTGACTTGCTATGTCTAATACATGGCATTGCACCATGGTTT